CATAAGCTGCATTTCAAAATAATTTGAATGCTAAAGGAAAGATACTCAAGATACAGCGTACAAAAAATTCTATTCTACATTTAAAGAAGTGCCTGTCCATTCAATTCATAGTTACCAAATTCACCCTTTGAAAACTTTCAAGTTTTTGAGTCTCCACGTTCATTGATCAATCAATCTTCATTTTGGACCAAAGATTGAGTTTGGGCATTTTTTAATGTGATCGATAAGGAATTTAAACTACCAACATTAAGTGCTCTAATTCTTTACTTTCAGGTGCTCCTAAATCTACGGTAACACAGGGTTTGCTGATACATGCTGGTTTACTGACTGATTGGAGCAACTTTTTCACTGCACTAAGGCTTGTTCGGGGAATGAACGTTGTCGTCACATAGAGTTAAGAAATCATCGTGACCCTTGATTTTCAGCTCTATTCAAAATGCATGACAGAAAAATGAGATCAAGGAAAATTTTATTTTTTGACTTAGGGAACTACATTTTGTATAAACTTTTTTAAAAGTTATCGGAAAGTATATTATTTGTTGACTCAATCAGATATTGTTAGTAGCAGGTGTTTGTGGCCCCACCATCCTAAAACAGATTCTTGAAGGGAAACGTTTAAAACGTAATATTGAAACATTCATGCATTCAAAACAGCTTTAATTTCCATATCAAAAGTTTTAATAACATTGGATCACAATTTCGCAAACAAAACTACCAAAACCCAACACAGACAAAAGAATTTTATCTAATGTAAACAAAGTCTTTAAGCGTTTGATGCATTTCGCATTAACTTCAACAAAAAAAGTGGTTTTTAATCTTATGTTTAAAGCCATTTTACTAAAAGAAGTTGCAGATAAACTAATTTATCATGGAAAGATCGGAGAAGAGCTCTATTGTTCTTTTGTTACTAAAAGGTTACTAGGAGGCATATCTATACGGTTGCCAATGAAGATGAAAAAATCTGAAAACATTTGAAAATCAGGCCAAAGTTGCAAAAACAATGATTGGTAGTAAATTAGATTAACTAAAAGAAGAACGCACCTTATTATCTTATTTTCTATTTAGGGCAAGAAAACGCCCAGAGCTTGATTTGAAAAAAAGTATCGGTAACTATGACTTTTCAGTTGTACAAAATTTGATGTTTACTCAAGATGGTTATCCATTGCTCACCTCTAATAAAGAAAACATTCTGCATAAAGTAGAAGACTTATCAAAAGTCTTCAACTTCATTCAGATTAAAGAGTACCACACAAGAAGAAGAAATGCCTGGAAGTATATGAACTATCACCAATGTGATATTGTTCAAAAAACATCTTAAGGATCAAAACTTGGAAAGTAACACTTATGTTATTTATTGTCTACGGTAGCATTTTAATTCAACCATATCACATCTATTGCTCACTGTAATAACTGAGTATGTAAAATTGCTAAATTAACATATGTATGACTTATAGCAATACTCATATTTGTTTTATTATTCAACACTTTGCTGCAAAATTCATTTGCATGCTTGAAAAGCATGCAAGTGAAAACTGCAACAAGATAAGATTGGATTTTGACAGATTGATGGAACATTCAATAAAGTCTAAAACAAGAAAAAAACAAATACAAGGTAAATGATGACTCTATTATTTTTAATTAGTCACTAAAGCATTTATTGGGTCATTGAAACCAAGCAAGCCCTTACCTAATACCTTGCTAAATATATAAAAAATAATATAGGTAGTATAGTTTGCTTTATTGCAACATATTTAAACACAACAAAAGCAAATGTGCAATATATGTCTGCAGAAAAGGTGAACCATAATCACGAAGAGGCTGACACTTTGGTAATTCTAAATAAGTATTGTGTAGGGGAGAGTGTGTATGAAAGAGCCAGGCTTTGAAAGAGCCGATGCCATTATATTTAACTTAGTGGCGCCCGACCATGATTGTATTTTACTTTTTGTGTGGCAACGCTGGATACCTGTCACCCACAAAAAGTTTAAAGTTCTTCTAAAATAAATAGCGTCGTAAAGATTCACTAAATATTTTGAAAATAAATAGTAATTTTTTTGGGGTTTACTTATTTATTTTTAAGATAAAGAGTATTGTATTAATTGATAAAACATAATGCTGCTTCATTGATCATATTCTATTGAAATTAATTGTTTGAATGACTTTTCCTGAAGTCGTAAAACGTAGGTGCGTTTGAATTTCAAAAAATATATTCAAATACTAATAAAGTTTTTAATAAATTTATTTTTATTTCAAACTTTCTAATATTTTGTCAAAATTTAATTTGTATTATTGTATTCACTCATATATCACTAACATAGTTAATATATGTGTAATGCCTTATAATCACAATGATTCATATATAACATTTATCTAGTGCATTTTAATACTTTTGTTTTTCTCATTCTCATTAACTATTATATATCTTTAAAAAAAAAACATGTTTTTACAACTATTAACTACGAAAAGCAACGTTGACGTTATATGAGGATATTTTTTTAATAATAAAGTGAAACTATTATTAAAGCTATTTTATCATTTGTTTTATCATTGATCATAGAATTATATAACTTAAAGTACAATCTGATTTTTAGAAGTCTAGTTAACAGATTACTTCTCTTAAAAGACTTGTTAGTTTTAGAAAAAAACGTTACGGCTCATTTTTAGCACAGAGTGACTCTTTCATTGACAAGATGTTATTAAAGAGCTGATTTCTTTCTTATTTTAAAATAGGTGTATGACATTTTATTAGCATTGTTATCCAATTTATTTTATTTTTATAATATTACCCAATAAAGTAGCTATTTAAATAAAAAAATTATTTTTTTTTAAAATTATTCAAAATTGACTTTTTTTCATACTTTTTTAAAACTGGCTCTTTCATACACACTCTCCCCTATTTATAAGATACTGACTTTTTTCTACTTTTGATTTACTTTTATCAAGTCCTGTTAAGTGTCACGATTTTTCGAACTGGTAGAGGCAATAATATATTATGTAACTATATGTCTAACTTGCTGGATTTTATTAGACATAAAATGAAGCCGCTTTTTTTTGTTTATAACAATAGTACGCCATTTGTAAAAAGGACAAAAACTGCAAGTCAAAAGTTCTTAATAAATTAAATATAATTCAAAAACAAATATTAATAATAATAAAATACTTATAAAAGTTTTTTCTATGAGCCTATGTTTATTAAAATGTATTTTAATTCATAAGAATGCTTCAAAAACTTCTGTCGTTTTACTTTCTATTCAAAACATCAATCCCTTTTTAATCAAAAATAAGTTAAAGAATCATAAATTATTATTTTATGAGTATTATAATTTCCGCTGAACACTTTTACGTAAATAGCATTTAAATTTTAAATATATTTAGTTCATTTAAGAAAAGAAAAGTTAAAAATGTTTGTTTACAAATTTAATCCGTCATTTGTAAAAATCCCAAAAATTGGCTTTACTTTTCGGATCATAGTTAGACATTTAGTTATATAATACATCTTGGGTAGAGGGGATAAGGAACGTGACATTTCAGTTCAAAAATGCTACAAAGCAATTGGTTCTGAACAAGCACAAATTGCTTGTAGTATTTCTGTTTAACTTTTTTCTTATTCCTAATGACTATATGATGACTTCATGAACTTTACATTTTTTTTTCAGGTTTTTGTAAATCCAGCAAATATATAGTATTTTTTATTCTTATCTAGACATTTATTAATTCAATTCTAATCTAGAAATTTATAATTAGTTGCTCAAAAAGCACATCATAAAAAAAACAAAAAAAAACCTAACTCTAAATATTGTTTATGAATTTTTTAAACTTCCATTTTTTATTTGCAATTCTTAGATTGCTTACAAGGTATGGTTTTTATTTTTGAAACTATGATGTTGTTTCATAAGGTTATGAAACAATATCATAGAATAGTTTTTGTTAAAGTGGAATGTGATTGGTTTACTCTAAATTATGATAATTACGCGATGTTTAACAAAAAATTATGTTCCTACTAAAAAATCGTCCATTAATTTACGTAACACGAAACTAAACTTTAAGTCAAAATTCAAGGGATTAAAGGTTTTCCCTCTTTATATAGTCTTTAATTAAATCAAGTATATAAACAACCTTTCTGTCCACCGAAAACCACCGCACAAAAGAGCAAAATGATGTCCTAACTATATTTTTAAGTAAGTTTTACATTGCGTAATTTATGGACTCTAAGACTGTTCCTTGAGAAATGACGTAATTTAATTTCGTTCTCCCTCCAGTCTATTACACCTCCTTGGTAAAATTAATTGCTTTTTTTATTCACCCGGCCTACAGGCTTGTTTAGAATGTACAATACATACAAAAATTGCTCTGTTCAAAACCAGGCAATAGTTCAGTAATAAAATTACTACAACCTATTTCAAAAGCACTTATTTTAGTGCTGAAAACTTTTTCAAAATTTCAAATATTCAAAAAAAAAAAAAAAAGGCATTTTCTTTTTTTCTATTTTTTGTTTTATTTTTCATAACCTTTTTCATAGATTGACCGATATTTTGAAACAAAGATTGACTAATGTGTTTATCATCTTGCGAAGGATAAGTTTTAACATTATTTTCGTCAGCTATTTTTTCCTAATTTTAAATCTATTTTTTCCTAATTTTATTACTCTATATGCAGAATAAACTGATATCAGATTAAACTGAATCAAATATGATAATTGAAAAACGGAAAAAATACGGAACAAGTAAACTTTATAATTTATGATTCTATGATAAAACATAGTCTCAATAAATATAGTTATTAAGTCGAAAGATCGCCGTGGCTACTTTAAATTTACCTTTGTTAACTTTAATTTTTCATAAAAAATAAAAAAGCCAAAACCTTAGAAATTTATTAAATGTATGCTTAAATGAATTTATATAAAAATACTTAAAATGTTACAAAAATATTTATATTAAAAATTTTTAAATGAAAACAACATAAATCTAAATAGATAATAAAAAATAAATATTTCAACTTACAGGAAAATAAATAATAAAAAATCAATTTTTGCAACACAAAAATTATAGCTGACATCTTCCTAATTGTCTTTCTTAAGGTAAAATGATGATTCTGATAAAAAAAAATATTGTTTAAATAAATAAATCAAAACATTACTCAATTTTATGCTTTTTTGAAATAAATAACACGTGTTTTGACAAAAATAACCTTTTTATTCAAAATAAAATTATCTTTTTGTTTTACTCCTATTTTAAAAAAGTCAGCTCTGCTACACTAAACTTATTCTGTCAGCTCTGCTACATTAATTAATTCCTTTCGGTAAATTAAGAAATGTTGCCCATGACAACTGATGTTTATTGATCTCTTGTTTGACGAAACTAAATTTTTAGCAATTTTTAAGTTTTTATCTACCACAGGTTTTTTTACATATAATCATATATATAGTTATGATCATATATTTTTTACTTTTAATTGAATAAATAGTCGCATATATACATTTTTTTGTTTAATTTACTTAAATATACTTTGTTTAATATTAGGTATTATTACAGCTTATTTATTATTACAGAGCTATTTTCAAGCTAAACTAAGGTTTTCACAATTGTGTCATTGTTACGTAACACGTAATCAAAAACGTAATCAAAAACGTAATCAAAAAGTCATTGTTACGTAACACTATAAAATTATATTCATCTCAAAAAATGGTTTCGTATTATGAATCATCACTAGGTTGCCATAATAATGATTTTAAGGCGGTATCATATAATTGCATTAAACACTAAAAGAAAACCTGCAACTTAATTTATTAGATCTCTTTATAAACGATAAACAAAATAAAAACAAGAACTTTTATAGCACTTGGAATATTAATAGATAAAAACATATCTTCGCAGACAGCTAGAATATAATGCTCCCGCACAGGTCCTGTGTAGGCTGCCGCGCTGGACCGGCTACGGCTGTCGACTTTTGCAAAGCTCCATTTTACTCTAAGGATTTTTCATAAACTAGCCGTGGCAAGCAAGTGATAGCAAAACAACGGCTAGCAAGTGCAGGACAAGAACTGGAAGAAAACGTAAGGAAAAATCAGGGCGGTGGCTATGTTTTAATCCACTTTCCAGTAATACTGGAACTAAAAAGGGTTCCCTTTTTAGAGTAGCAAACAATCTAGATATCTATTTATTATTTTTTGCTTGTAGACACCACATATCAGAACAGATGTTTGTTCACTTTTAAAATGTTGTGACTCAAAGAAAGACATCTGGTTCAGAGAATTTTTTATTTAACAAACTTAAAGACATATTTGTCTTATAACTGTTATCAAATGTGCTGCAGTTGAGTCTCTAAATTTTTGCAAAAAATATATTAAAAGTGGAAAAGTTTTAAAAGGCGATAGAAATGAACAAGCTGATTAAGTTGTTGCTTATTTGTCTTCTGAAGGTGTAAAAATTAGAAAGCAAGAGCTGTCCACCATGCAAGGTATCTCGGAAAAACAATATATTACATAAAATTGAAACTTCTTTCTAATCAAATTAAATTTATTCACAAAGATAAAAAAACTTTTAGAAGAAATAAATATTATTGCAGAATTAATAGCATGTTTTTATGCAAAATGGTGTTTGCAATCTGATAAGGCTATCAAAGCACCATATCTAGATGTTTCAACAATACATAAAATGCATCTATACAAAGAGGTTTGTGCCAAAGCAAGCAGTATTAAAATCATTTTACAAACTATCTTGATTTCAAGATTCTACAATTGTACCTTTTTCGTTGACATTTATTACACACACACACACACACACACACACACACACACACACACACACACACACACACACACACACACACACACACACATATATATATACATATATACATATATACATATAAATATATTTATATATGTTTCTATATACATATACATGTATATATATATATATATATATATATATATATATATATATATATATATATATATTTATATATTTATTTATTTTATTTAAATAAATAAAAGCAATACTTTAATAGTACTTAAAGTTTTGTGCCTTTTGGAAATCAACATCTTTTAATTATTTGTTGATATTATTATCATTGTTATTACTATTGTTAATTTTAATGTTATTATTGCTATTATTATTATTGCTATAATTATTTTTGTTATTATTATGATTTTTATTATTATTATTTTAAATATTATCAAATTTATCATTTGTATCAATTATTATTTTAATGCATTTTTAGATTTCTTAGAATAGAAAACGTAACAGTTAATACAATTTTATTATTTTATTATCCAAATACATTAATATACAAAATAACTTTTTATTGATTCGAAAATTAAATTTGCTTTGTCAATACACTTTGTATACGTTTATTATGTAGTAAATTGTTGACCGAGTCAGTTCTTTGGTGCAATCTTATCTTTAAATATTTAGCAATATTAATTTTATAATTTCTGCACCATTTTCATAAATAAATTACAGACAACGTTTAACAGTATTACTTTTTTACAACCACCTAAACTATCAATTAAAAAATATACATCAGGAAGTTTCCAACGTCCATTTACACAGTTTACCATAAAAACTAAAGCTTATTTTGTTTTGGGTTAATTATTGATATTATTATTGATATCAGCACAAAAATCAATATAACCAGAAAATTTATAGCCTGTCCGTTCAATTTTTTTTGCAAATAGCCATTTCATCTAACACAAATGAACATACAACACGTTGACCAATTTTCTGAGCCTCTTTTACTTTACTATGAAGAGTAGCTAAAGCTTCTTTACAAATTCTAGGGAAACAGTCAACACTTTTATACCATTTTGTATTATTCCGGGATGAAGAAGTGTATTACTAAATGTTTTCCTAACATAACTATATTCTTTAGACATTTTCAAGCCCGAAGACGTGAATTTTTGTCTAACGTTAAGGTCAATTATTAACAAAACTGTAGATAACAACTGCTGTGACAATAAACCACATGTTGTAAAAATAAACCAGGGTTATGCCCAAAATTCTACTGAGTCAATAAAAAAACATACTTGTAGATATGTATGAAGCTGAAAACAAAAATACATAAAAATAAAGAATGAAATCTTTTAATTCTTCAATTTTATGTACTTTTTTTGAAGGCCAAGACCAAGACCAAGACCAAGACCAACAGTTTTAAGACCAAGGCCTTAAGGCAAGGTCAAGGCCAAGGCCTAGGACTAACAACTCTGTGTTAAAGCAAAGCTTCATAATTCTGGTGGGTAATGCCTTTTAACTTTTCTTGTAAAATCCAACAAAATAACTGTTTTGTAGACTCAGACATAGCTTACTAAAATTAAATAGATTAAATAAATACATTTTTAGTTACAATATCATATTTATACTTGAAAACCCAATCAAGTAAAATAGGGCATAATTGATTGGGGTATCAAGAAATTGATGAAATTATCACAATAGCATTACAATCATAACAACAATTATTACTGTTACAACAAACACAACAATTAATTCATTGCTATTCTTACCGTAATTGTAATGAACTAAAATTTTCCCTAACCGTTATCTGATGATTAATGTAATAAGTTTTTAATCATTAAAACTTACTAATTTAAAACCATATTTCAACAGTCCCAGCCGGCACAACTCAGAAAACAGTTACGCTTGGTTTCTGTTGCGTTTTTAAAACCTTCTAAAACAAAAAGAATAACACGTATCCTAAATGGTTTTTATTCCGTGAAATTAACTATTACTATTTACCATAAATACCAGTTAAAGTATTAATGGTTTCACCTTTAAGGAAACGTAGTATTATATTTTAATAACTTTCCGTAAGGAATGTGAAACCACTGATAAAAATATGCGACATTTAAATTTGACTTTAAAACCTCAAAAATCACGTGTTAAACTCTAGTAAAACTGCCCGTAATATACACGTGCTTTTGGTTTACGCCTGGATTGTGAAAAACACGTGCCTATATAGGTTTTATTTCCGAAAAAGAAACTAGATGTGCCGATAGGGGTAGATTGACTAAAACAAAATAATCCAAAAGGTATAACTTAAATAAGAAACAAATATTTAAAATAATTAAATAGACAAATAATATAAAAAGTCACAAATATAAATATGTTCAACAACTACTATTAAGAAAAGTATATATTATACCATTAGTGCAATTGATACTTCTTCAGAAATCATAGTATGATTCATGATTTTGATTCATTATATGATTCATACTTTTTGATTTAAAATGACGAAGGAATGAATGTAAGTCTTTAATCCTTTTTTTAAAACAACAGTTGGATTGTTGAAACATTTTAATTGTCTTTTGTTTAGCAGCTACAGGCCTTGCGATGAATAAGAACTGCGCGACGCATAAGCACGACGTGATTTTTGACGTCATTAAATTCTTTTTATTTGCTTTTCATATTTATCGACATTAACTGCATCAATTTACTTAATTACCACAAAACTACTTTAAATCGTTTATGTAGAAATGTTATTATTTAAAAATGTTTTGGAATGTTTCGTTTTTTAAAATGTAAAAACATTTGTTTATTTTCTCGACGTTTGTCACGTTTTGTCTATACTAAACGAATAAAAAACATTATAACTTAAATTTAAAAAAGATTATAAAATATGCTAATATTTAATTTTTTTTTTCTTAAATATGTAATTTAAAGTTTTTCAAATAATTATTTTTTCTTTTTAAAAAGTCAGCGAGTAATAAACTGGAAATTTTAATATTGTACGATAAAAAACTGTGCAATAGCTAATATTTTTACAAGCGATTTTATATAATATTTATTTATTTATTTTTATTTATTTTCATAAAGCGGTTGATAAGCACAATCACTCGTATTAATAAAAAACTTAAACGAACGTTATAATAGATTTTTAATGTTAACAAGGAATTTTATTTCTAGTAAAATAAAATAAAATGTTAGAATAAAAATCTTATAGGTATAAAAGAAATATTTTCAGCGAAAAAATTATTCTTAAAAATTATTCTTAAAAATTATTCTTAAAAATTATTCGAAAAACTATTGACGTTCTATTGTTCTTGAGCATGCTTCGTTGAGTTTCGGTAACTTTTAACATAAAAGCGATCGTTATTATTTAAGTAAATTTTTGAGTTACTTTTTACAAAAATTTTAATAACTGTACTTTTTTATTGAATCAAGTAGAATACGTTTTAATATTAGTCTTTTTTTTTTTTTTTTATTTGCCCTCACCAATTTTTAAAATGTTTCCTCGAAATTACTCTGAAATACTTTAAATACGTCTAACAGTTAATAAATATTTTTAAATCTATGGAATAATTTTAAAACCT